ATCCATTTTGGACATGTGCTGATTGAAGTGCTGTTCCTATGCAACGTCTAGTATTTAGTTTTGTGAACGACATGCATGTTTACAACGAGATTCTCGTTATCAACGTCGCCGTCCCTTCAAGTGATGCTAAAATACCTTCATTATGTACAAAAATTTAGTATTTTCACATGTTGATGCTATACAGAGATTATACGCTTTATACGCAAAACTGCATAATTTTGATGACATTAAAACTACATGCATTATATCAATTCTCCGTCCGCACAAACATATTATTGGAGCTGCCACTATCATACTTGAATATGTTTCATGAAAATACTGATCTACATGAACGCCGCTCCAAGTAATGTCGACACCTTTTCTCGCCACTCTAGTGCAATAACAGACAACTATCAATGTAGCTATGACTATCGAAATTTTGACAGCACAAAATCACAAAGGAGAACTTCTTTCGATCGAGGAAAAAGAGTTTTTTTTGCACTTTTTTCTTTATAATTGTTTGATGAGATGTTCTGAGATTTAGACAGTGGTTTCGGTCACGCGTCAAAATGCAAAAATAATAGTAACGCAATGAGTGCAACAATCTTGTTAATTTCCAACTTGCTTTTGGAGGATCCCATCTTCAGTCTCAAACAGGTGTAAACTTCTTTTTCTTTAACGTTATTTCGATATGGAATTAACACAGGTTTTTTATGTGTTGATATTAACAAAACACACATGTGCGAAGTACAGTACTTCTTGTACACTGTGCATACATGGTCAACACAAGACTAGATACTATTCTTGGTATTAGTATTCACTAACAATATGACCGCTTGATATTTGATATTTATTAGTCAAGGATTATTTACCACATAAAAATCACATACTTGAGAGATTATGACGACGTACCTAAAAAGTGAATATGAGGTTATTATGGTGTATGCGTTTGAATGTTATTATCATTTCGACATCCACTGAATATGCGCTGGTACGGTAAGTAGATATCCGTGATCATAGACGTAGATTCTTTTGTCATAAGGATTGTAGGAGATCATGTTTGCGTTTCGGTAAAGATTGATCCATTTAATATTTGGTTTCGAGTATTGTCGACGATAAAAGTCATATCCAGTGGAAATAAATGTCCGTTGAGCGTGATTATCTTCAATCTGCAAAACAAAAATTGAGTCTTTTGGGTAAATTTCTGAAATGAAAGCCTGCAGGTAGGGTTACCGTATAAAGCACGCCACAAATCACTATCCCGTTGGCGATCTGATTGTGGTTGACAAGGGTAAGATTATGAGTCTCATAGATAGTCAGGTTGTTTATGTCCACCTAAAATCGAAAAATCATAATAATCACAAAAAAAAGAACTTCAGCTACAGAATCCATCGTGTAAAAACTATTGTTCAGCCAAAAAAAAAAGAAATCTTCAGGTTCTGATATGCAAAAAGACGTTACTTCTGCTGAGCCATGATGGTGTTATCTATGTACTT